GAAAACTTCAAAGACTTTAGAGAGCTCGCAACTGCATTCTAAGCCTGAGCGGTAGCGACGGTATACATGTGAAGGTTATCTAATTACCTTCCCCCAGAAATGTTTTCGGTAGCGCTCGTGTGTCTCCCCGTTCTTCTGTGTCTCTGGGTGTGCGTCATCACGATAACTTGGCTTATAAAGGATTAAATGTTTTTAAACGGTTTTGAAAAAGTTAAAACTTTTGGTCCAACACAAAAAATCTCTCTGTTTCCCCAATGTACGTTTCCTGACAGGGCCCCTTGTTGTTTTTGCCCTGGCAGGGGATGTGGTAGATGACACCACACTTCTTCTCTTTGGGGGTTTTGTCCTTGGGCGCAACGACAATGTGTCTTGAAGTAGTGGTTGGTGTGAAACAGGTTGCAAGCTCTAGGTGAGAGAATTTTTTGTTTTGGACCAAAAGTTTTAACTTTAAACATGTAACTACCAACACAGATGAACTTTCATGATAGTAGAAGGCTTAAATGTATTGTCCTAATATTTTGTACATTGGTGGATCTTGATTATACATAAAAATAGATAGCTTTGGGCCACCTAGCTTGTTATGGTACACCAGCAGACCTTCCGGTTTTGATATATTTTGATCTGGACAAGTTACGGTTACGAATTTTGAGTGATAGATAACTTTTGTGCTTAGAAAAGTGACATGAATTTGGCCCCCTTAGCAACTTGCACTGTTGCATCATTTATAAGCTTATAAGGAGGATAACTCAAGAATCAGTTAACGGACCGTTTTGATTTTTGGTACGTAATTAGCTAGTGATGCACACCGACTTTTATGGATGACATCCGCGTGCGCATTGATTTTCGCCTGTTCTAAAAACACCGAGGCTCTGATCTGGCACTAGGCACTGCCAGTGGCACTGGCTAACGAAGCTCCACGACTCAAGAACTCAATACATACCCACATTGCCGATTCATAAATTGCCGGCTTGTCGTATACGTCGCTAAGTACTACCGCAAATTCACAATACCTAATACCTAGCTTTGTATTCCTGTGGTTTAGTATCATATTTTTTGTATTCGCCCGCGCACTAGTTTGGGGGTCTTCAGAGGCTGTCATCCATAAAATTAAGTCGGCGTGGCCTAAAGTAGAATGTGAGAGTTGAATTTATATGCATTAAGGCGTTTATAAAGGAATTTGTGTCAAATAACAGCCAGTGGGATAGGCCATATGATAATAACGTTAATGCTACGCCTTATCCTCGGTGTATATCAGGGTGAGATAATCCCTGGTGAGGTGAGATAACCACCTCATAAAGCACTACGCTCACTCGGCGGTTTATTCGGTGGTTATCTCACCTGAACAGGGATTATCTCACCATATACACCAATGATAAGGCGGGGTATTAACCGGTTACTGTTATTGCAGGCAAAACATGCATCGCCGCAAGCCGCAGCTTGTGCAGCGGGAAAGCATGATGTATGATACAGCATGAACGATAGTGAACATTCATGGATGATGAGTAGATATCAATACCTAAAGGAAACAGCTTTCAGGGGGCTTCTGCCATTTTGAAATATAGGAAAAAAGCACAGGGTTGTACACAAACCCTGTGGCGTGTATCTGCAATGATATACCTGACGTTTGCGGTCCGGACCATAGTTGTAAACCTTTTTCCTAATGTGATTGAAATCTATAGAGTCAGGGGGTACAGATAGCACTTCAGTTGTGGTAAGCTCATATATCATCCTTATTGCATTACATTATCAATTTAGAAAATACGGATATGCATGAATAACTTTCAAATCAGTACGGGGCGTTTCTTTTTGAGGGTAATTCTAATGCCGTGGTGAATTTTCAGAAGTAATCCTAATCTTGGCTAGCAAGCAGAGAATGCAGTGCACTGTTGCTGCATTTCCCTTGAAGGGAAATGCAAAATTTACCTAATTTGCATAATTTATGACGGAATGCTATTATAATTTTCTTTGTTAAGATAAGGATTGTCATTGGTTGGAGAATATGATCACATCATACAACTCAAGCAAATGAGGATCTTATTTGTATAATCTATGAAACATCTACAAGTCATCAATCGTAAAGGTTTACATCAATTGACGAAGGTGGTCGTGGAACTCTGGTTTTTCTTCATTCATCCACTCATTCATCCATTCGTTGATACATACCACGGACCGTGAGGCTGTGGAATTCACTACCAGCCTCGGGCTCCCTGGTAATATAAATGTGAACAGTTTTAAGCCTGCAGTTAAAACATCATCATCATTAATCATCCTCCGAAGAGGTGTAGCATACAAAGTTAGACCTCCAGAACTTACAATGTCCTTCATCGCAGAGATAAGTTCTAGGCCTTGTAAGCCTGTTTCAGTTTCTATAAGTTTCTTGAGTGTTACTTTTGGCCGTCCAACTCTTCTTCTTGTGTCAGGGTTCCAGAGTAGAAACCTACTGGCTGGTTCTTCACTGCGTACAACATGACCGGCCTAGCTTAGTCGTCGACATTTTAAAACTACTGTAGTTACATTTGGTAACGAGCCATATAACTGTTCATTAGTCGTATGTTTCCACCATGGTGTATTGAAAACCACTCGCAACATCTTCGTGTATGCCCCGTTAAGTTTTCTAGAATGTGACATATTCATAATCCATGATTCTGACCCATACAAAAGAATTGTTTCAATACATGCCTTAAACACTTTGATCTTAGTTTGTTTTCTAATGGGTGCTTTCCAAATCTTATGCAATGAGTGAAGAGCACTCCATGCCTGTGCGATCCGCACATCCATGTTAAAACATTCCTCTTGAACTCTGCATAGATCTATTGTACTGTACACTGTTCTTTTATACATGTTCTGTTGCACATGTATTTAGTGTTTAACTGAGTTAATGTAATGTGGATGACAATAAATGGTTAAATACTCGCCCTGCAGAGTTGTCCGCTGTATACACCGAAGTAAAAGCGGGTCATTAACTTGGTTATCATACAGGCTACCCAAACTTTTCTTGTGTTTTCATCAGCGCTTACTCTAACAGGCCAAGCTGCTGTCCATTCAAAAGAGCAAAACGAGTACGTGCGCCCTCATTACCTTCTTCCGATTCACCCTCCTGTCGGCGGTTGTTTCTGGGCGACTCATGCGCCTAGTATCTGGTCCAAATCTTCTGCTTTGAGATAATTGAAATACGTCGCACATCCATTATATTGTGCTCTTTCCGCATAGATAACAGAACCCCAAATCATGTTCCATCTGACGTCATTCGGACAGAACGCAGCCGACGCTGATTGGTCGCAATGAAAAATTCAGAAACTTGACAAATCATGTATTATTGGTTCCATATGCTCGTACATCTATAACTGCGTCAAGAAGCGAGAAGAAGTTGAACATGTGAACAGTAGATCACATTAGTATGTATAGTTTAAGTGCAATTGCAATATCCTTTTCCTTGTCTATTCATGACCTGTACTTAGCTTGTTAGAGCACAAATGTACAATAAAGGTCTTTCATTCATTCATTCATTCATTCATTCGTTCGTTCGTTCATTCATTCATTCATTCATTCATTCGTTCATTCATTCATTCATTCATTATTCACCTGCGGGTATGGTTTATGGTGTTTTCACGACCTGAAAATGGGTCCTGATTGGTCAACGTCACATGGCTATATGATAATGTTTAATAAAAGTAACATTTGATTTGATTTATTGAAATTGTAAAAGTACAATACACGTGAAACACCCCTATTTCTATAATCGTGTGGAATAGGCCATAGCTGTTTGGTAGGCGAGGTGCTGTATTCTACAGTAAGCAGATATTGGGTGTTTTTTGTGTACTCGCTGGCGAGTATCTATTGGGATATTGTGACTTATAGTTTGCACCTACTACGACATCTTAAAATAAAAATGATTCTTTTAACATCTGTTAATTGATTCATCGTAAAAAAATCTCAAGTACATGGCAGCGCTGCCAAAGGTGCTGAATTGTATACTTGCGTAATATGGAGTAAATGAAAAATATTGTTATGGAAGATGACTTTGTTCATCTGTTTAATTTGTCGTGTTGTTGACCTTATGTAGCCTGTATTTGTACAAACTCAAGGCAGGGGGTATATGACCTCAACGGGGCGGCCGCCAAGAGCGCGATGTATTTGACCAGGGATTTAGCCATTTTTACGTTGTTACCAGTTGTGAAGTGCTCGCACACTGTTTGCATACACTATACTGTTACCAATCTGCAAAATATAAAACTTCACAGAGAATTGTCGCCTATGTCCTTGTTAGAACTTAGTTGGGCTATAATTACGATGGTCACGGTGTATGAGCCCTCTTTTCCACTACTCTCTATGCAAGGCAAAATGGCGAATGACTTATGAAACATGGCTGACAGTAACAGTAACAGTGGGTGCGCGCGCGTATTGACAATTGGAAAAGCTGTATGTAGAAGTCATTTGTCATCGTTTGCCTGTAGTTGTCTGGAAAAAAGGACATGTTCGATCGTAAAATCCATCGTCTGTTGCTCAGAAACTTTTCGTCTCCGCACATTCTGCACCGAAGATGCTGACGTGATTTTTCGTCAACTTTTGTAATTCCTGTTATAATATTTCATAACGTGTATCTGCTGTCCTGTTATAATATTTCATAACGTGTATCTGCTGTCCTGTTATAATATTTCATAACGTGTATCTGCTGTAAGATTTCTGTTTGCTGTCTCCACAAATCAAGTTCTTCCCACAGAAGTTCTCAGATAGGGCTGCAAATCTTGACTAGTGCTAGGTTGGTAAATATAAAATACTTTTCACACTCTTGCACGTTTGTGTCCGCATTGTATACCGTTCCCTGTATCTGTGATACATACAGGATAGCATAGGGAACGTATCTATAGATACACCGGCGTTGTGGTAACCAGTCAGAATTGCCCTGAGGAAGCTGACAGACGGTCAACAAAGCCCCAGAATGAAATAGCTGATAACAAATCTTTCCTTCCTTTGCAGGTGCTCCCAATAACCTACCTGTCATGGTGTACGTCCACGGGGGTTACTACGCACATGGGGCCGGCAGTATGTATGATGGCAGCGCCCTCGCTAGCGAAGGAGATGTAGTTGTGGTCACCTTTAACTTCAGATTGGGAATATTAGGTTAGTCACGCACCTTCCTATTGAATATGTGGCATTTTGGTTTTACGTAGATGCACTTCGAATGATACACATTGTGCAGCCCTTAGAGATAGCTCCACACACTAGTAAGATAATGTCCAAGCAGATCATACGGTGGCAAGGCAGTACCCAATGGCTAATGCTCGCGGCTTGGCCAATGGTTACAGTTTTACCACTGTAGGATCTGCTCGGAGATTATATGAATACATATATGAAGTTTACTTCACGCTCAAAAAAAAGTTATAGCTCAATGGAGGAGCGACCCGCAAAAATGAGACACCGGCTCTGAAGCAACTATCCTGATGAGATATGTAACGTGCCTGGAACCCGTGGCACGATTGAGTTACTCCCCCATTTCAGAATCATTATATCATTATAAAGTCTACGCAAGCGCGTGGTCTTTATTAGCCCACCCGACGAAGAGGCTGTAAATAATACCCTGTAATCTGCCAGTTAGGTAACGTGGTCCTAAGGGTAGGTTTTTTTACTCAGAATCTGAAGTTTCAAATCCCTGGCAGGCCTCACAGGAACACTACTTTACATCTACTAGCATTTCCTCACATGACTAGTGAAAATGAGTACCTAGCTTTGGTTAGGGACGTCTTCTCGGAGAGAACGTTAAGTACTAAAGCGTCTTTAAGGAGAGCCACACCTCTAGCACGTTAAAATCCCATCACAATCATCGAAAGGTGAGCATTTTTCTCTTATCTCAACAGGGTTTCTCAGCACCGGAGACAACAACGCCCCTGGAAATTATGGTCTGTCCGACCAACTTCTAGCTCTGGAATGGGTAAAAAAGAATATCCGGTTTTTCAATGGGGATCCTGAACGAATCACTATATTTGGGGAAAACACCGGCGCAGCAAGCATCACCTTACTAACGGTGTCTCCAAAAAGTACAGGTGAGTAAGAGGACTCAACCTACTGTATGTAAAAATGATGAAGTTTCGGTGGGTTAACTACTGTGTCTAACTCAGTGCCGATTTTGTATTTCTTCACACGACCAGTGGAAATGATTTAAAAAATGTATATTACGATTAGTTATTTAGTCAGGATTGGTCTTCCTATAGCGAGGTAATGAGTTAAGTCTATAATATAACAATAATAATAATAATATAAACTGCTCTCCAACTAAAAACATTTCTAATCCAAGTGTTGTAGACGCGTGTTTTTTGCACGTGTGACGTCAGCATGCGCACTGGGTCAAAGTTCGTACCGCTCCCAGTCCTGGTTGAGAGGAGATTGGCGTAGCCTGATGTAGATTTTTTTCAATTACTTGCTATGGTATTGCACATGCAAAAGACAACAACAACAAAAAAAGAAAATTTCATACTCCAATGTCTTTCTTCACATGATTAGACAAAGAGTCTACCCAGGGCCAGAGAACAAACTCTGCTTGAAAGTTTGCTTCAAAAACTCATGACAAGCATCTTTATACACAGCTGAACTTTTACCTTGCAATATTAGAAAGTACTAACTAGCCAAAGTCCCAGTTTATTGAGAATGGCATAGTACATGTTGATTGTTGAGTTTTCTACTGTTCATGCACATATCCATGTATCTGTTGTCTGCACATAGTGTTGCAGAGCGGTACTTGGTACTTTCTCAGCCTCTCCCCGTGTATTCAGGACAGGTGTCAGTTGTAGAATGAGCAGTTAACAGTAGCCGAATCTATTTGATGCTTTTATAGTGCAAGCTTTCTCCTTAAGAACAAACTAATATTTTCACGTTTTGTGACGACATATATCTGAAAACAATAGGGTATAGAAAGACTTACAAGATGAAAGAAAGAGCCTTCTACTTGTTAAGCGCCTGCCGCACATTCAGGACCTTGCCCACGAACACCAGTTTGGGTGTCGAATCAAGTTTGGGTGAAGGCAGATTTAATCTACCTTTCTATACGAATCTAATGGAGTTTGAGTTAAACTGAGTGAAATTTGCCTCCCTAACACAGCTCACCCACTTCTACCTACACCAGCCAACCACCAGTCAAACATGGCCAAACCTTCCGATGTTTTACACATTTTAAAGCATTCGGATGGCGCCTACTTCTAACCATGGTTGTATCAACGGAATATTTTGCAGGTTTTCTAGAAAATACCAGTCTGTCCTTTTAACCCCACGTTTGTCAATCTATACATCATCAGGTTTGTTTAAGAGGGCGATTGTACAAAGTGGCTCATCCTTAGCTACGTGGGGGATGACACAGGAGCCGTGGCATTACGCAACTGTTCTGGCGCACAAGGTACGTTGTTCCCAATTATCACCTTCGCCAAGAATATTATGCTTTAACGGTGCACACCCCAGTTCTTCCGCGTCTGTGGGAGTGAGCCTAAAAAGTGACGAAAGGGTTTTGAGGTCCAAGTTTGAGGTGGCATTCCGCATTAACTGCCGCGAAATAACATGGCTAAAAAGTGGAAGAAATAGTGATGTTTTTGGTGAAACTTGATTTTGGCTTCAAACTTCAATTGATTTTGGCCCTTTACTACTCTTGTACGCTGTGCGAGTTGTTTCATACCTGTTGCCAAGTTCTGCAATCTCTGTTACCGCTCAAGTAAGGCGGTCGTGCAGTTTAGATAGAGTCACATAAAAGACACGAAATTGCCATTTTGATAACTTTTGGGTTAAGAGAAGAAGAAAGGAGTGTTTGCTGCCATTTGTAGCCACCCTTACTGAACAAAATGTTTTACAGTAATGACTGTAACCTCCTTTACCGTTGTTTATTACCTTCAATGTTAGTTACTTCACCTGGTATATAAAAGTTACCCAGTTTTTAAATGCCCGTGCTCATTTGCACCAAAAAGATGAAGCTAGAAGCTGTAGATCTTTTCAGAGAAAAAAAAGAAAAAAGTCCATCTCCGTTACAGGTAACGGAGGTTACACCCGTAGCGGAAAAAACATAACAAGGGGCAACAAATTTCCTTTTCCTGTGCACCATAAACATAATCAATGGAAGTAGAAAACATATGCAATGAAAGTAAAATAACCCTCAATTTCGTCACCAGACTCAAATGTTCTACCCTTCTTTGAGATTTTGCTTCCAAAGTTAACTACGCTTAGCTATCTTCATGTGTTCAATACGTGCGTATGTGCCAGTATATAATGTACTACGGAAGGACTTCCATAGATACTGATGCCTAAACTAATGGCTTTTGAGGTGATGTCATAAATACAGGCTTTACTTATCATACACCCGATTCATTCTAATGTGCCAGTGTTTTTGCTGCACAAAAATGGCATTGTTTTAACATATCTTATCAAAGTCCATACATTTTCGATAACTTCCTATGACAATTAAGCTGTCATTTTTTTAGAAATCATTAATTGAGGTGTTTTCCTCAAAAATAAGGAAGGTTTGCTTGAAAAGACAGATTGATTTTTCGACCCTAAAAATCACAATTCTGCACATTTTAATGAGAATTAGCCATTACATAAACGGTTATGTTTCTAATATGGTTTGATGCCTTTCAGCTGATAACGGCTTCTCGCCGCTATATTTAGCCAATGTAAGTGACGCTTTTGCGGCAAGAACACAATCCCAAACGTGGCAAAGTTTGTGTCCCCCCTCGTCCCGGTTCATCACTGGGGTTAACCTCCTTACCACAGAAACTACATGCCAAAAATAAAAAAAAAATCGGCAAAGACAGAACACGTCGCCAGAAACACCTGTGACAGGGAGGGAGTCAGGGGACAAAGGTAATCGATAGGGACGATAACAGAAGAATCCATATGGATAAGGAAGTCAACCGCAGTGATGAACCGGGACGTGGGATTGTGTTCTCGCCGCAAAAGCGTCACCTACAGCGGATACATCTAGCGGCGAGGAGCAGTACTCCAGTCAGAAGGGGAAGATTCAGACTGATTCAGTTGAACACATGGAAAGAAGGTTGAACAGCTTTGAGCGTTTATTGTCATATCGTGAACAATCCGTGATTAAGTGACGTTCATCTTCAATCCCGTTCATCTTCTCATTTCTACATTTTTTAACGACTACAGATCCTTATCTTAAAAAGGTATTTTCTCGTCCGCACCCTTTCTTAAACACATAATAGAATAAATAAATAAATAGCAAAGTTCTTTAATCACAACCATTTATTTTTGCGAGCCGTCGTTTCGATAACCGTCTGTCCATGTAACACTTTTAGTGCATTATGCACCAAGTAACATCTAGCGTCAGTGCACAACAAACCAGTCAGAATTGCCCTGATGAAGATGACAGACGGTCATCGAAACGTCGGCTCGTAAAAATAAATGGTTGTGATCAAAGAACTTTGCTATTCTTTCGTTTACCAACCTGATGAAATTATTTACGGACATAATAGAATAGATGTTACTTCTCATCTCTCATGACATTTTACCCTTCACAGGTAGACTGCTGCACAAGTAACTTTTCCCGAATGGTAGACTGTCTCCGAGGGAAGCCACTTGATGGTCTTCTGTCTGCGCATGTCCAGCCTGACGGGCCTCAATACTTCATTAGTTTCGGCCCTGTGGTTGATGGTGACATTGTCCCCGACATACCAATTAACCTCATGTCCAAACCGAGTGATGTCCTTAGACAGTTTCAAGACATTGGGCTCCTGATGGGCGTCAATGAGGACGAAGGCTATGCCTACATTGAAGGATACAAGAATATTGACAAAGGTGTGAGCGGAGAGGGATTTGCTGTGGCCATTCTAGACTTTGTGAACAAAGTCTTTCCATACAGAGAGAATGAAATACAGGACGCCATCGGCTTTATCTACACTAACTGGGGCGAGAAGGAGAGCAGTGGCACCCGGCGCGCAGGCCTCGTCAGGATGTTCACCGAACAACAAATCGGGGTTCCGCTGGTCAGTGTTGCAAACTACCACGCTAGAGGCAGTCCCTCACCACGGACGTTTCTGTACACATTCAACCATAAACCACAGTACAGTCCATTTCCTGACTGGGTGGGATCCGTTCAGAATGAAGAGTTACCTTTCGTGTTCGGTGCGCCATTAGGTGGTGGTGGCATTCTTGCGCAAACCAACTTCACCAAGTCTGAAGCCATGCTTAGTACTGCCATCATCACGTATTGGACTAACTTTGCCAAAACCGGGTAGGTACCACCGTTTGAACATTTAAAGGAGCTTTATGTAACATTTGTGCACCAAAAATTGAAAAATTTTAATTGGAAAAATCTTCGTGTGTAATCTACTTCAACTTTTCAACGTATTTTGTGCAAGTATCCTACATTTCTGACATTAATGTTTGGCGATAAAACAGCCCACTTACCTCCACAAACTAAACGCTCATGGCTAACAACTGTGTTTCCAGCTCTTATAAACATGTGTAAGGCGTCATATTTTTGCCCTCTGATTCCCTACCATGTATATGGTACTTATTTGCTATGGGTATTTGGTTTACTAAAATGTACTTTTTGTATCGTCCTTATGTTACATAACGCAGATAATGTCTTTAGCACGAGTTGTGGGTTAGGAACGACGAACAGCTTATCTGAAAATAGTTAACTTCCTGAACATAGCCTCAAGCTTTACTTGAAAAGTTGATAGTCTAGTTATATGGCAATGCAAATATATAATGTATTGTAGTCATATCAATGATTGTTACTGAATTTCTTTTCAAAATTAATTTTTCAGAGATCCCAACGTGCCACGTAAACAAAAGACACGATTCATCCATATGCGTCCTAATAGATATGAAGACCTCGAATGGAAGAACTATACAATAGAAGACCAAGACTACATGTACCTTGGTATGAAACCAAGGGTCAGGCAAGGGTATCGTTCCCAACGCGTGGCGTTCTGGACAGATCTCATTCCGAAACTCATTCGTCCACAAGCTGTCTCAAAGGGAGATTCTTCCTCTGATCTTATAGATCTTTGTAAAGGCTTAGATATTGGAAGAGGAATCCTGCTAAAAAACGGAGTTACAAGTTTGGAGAAAACGCTTTTGACCGCGGCTGACAGATTCTTACCATCAACGTGTGTTCCACTGGTGATGACATCACCCACGGGACTGACCAGGCCAAAGGTTGAAGTTCCGCCAAATTGGTTTGATCCAGATGACACCAACATACAAGACAGACGAAGTTATTCCACTGAACTGAGCGTTGTTATTGCAGTTGGAACATCTTTGTTTTTCGTGAACATTGTTGTATTTGCCGTCTGCTATCATCGAAAAGACAAAAAGAGGTATCACTGCCCTAAGATGGAAGACACATATGGGTTGAAAGCCTTAGACCTTAATAGTCATGGAGTAGATAGTAACACTTGCATGAAGACGAGGAACAGCCCCCAGATGGTCTAACTGTTCCTCTATTGCAGAAGGGCTTTCGCCATGCAAGTTAATTTGGGTAATGTTTACTTTTTACAGACCTTTTTATAATTTCTAGATTAATCAAGCAGTGTTACATTGATGAATCATCCCTTGGATTATTATAAGTGGTTATGTATAATGTATAATGCCGTGAAAATTGAGGCATGCCATCAGTTCACCTATTTTCTCTTTCGCCTGAATATTATACTAGACATAGAAATGCTATCAACTAGAAAGGCAACATTTGCTCGGGCAAATTCAACATTTCAGTCCATCTCCCTTCCCATAAAATGGACTGATCCAAATTCATATCTGTTTAAAAGTAAAACATTTCAAAATTACTTCTGCCAAAACCGAGATAATTGCCAAGTCATCTAATTTTATAATCTTAATTTGACACCAATTCAAAAAAGATTTTTTATTTCTAATTTAATATTCCAATATTTCATGACCAAATATGGAAACGGCACACTCCACCGCCACCAATACAGAGTACAAATACGGGACAGGACAATACTCATTTTCACTTAGGGAAAGTCGTGTAAAGTGCCTTTCCCAAGGGCACAAGATCGGTGGCATGTCAGGACTCAAAACCCCGGACCTCTTGGTTCCGAGTCGAGCACTCTGCCGCTACGCCACATGACCCCTCTTCAAGAATGAATTCTTCCAGTGAGCCCATATTATGTTATGGTCCACATCAAAACACTAAAACACACACACACAAAAATCAATTTTTCACAAATACCCAAGCCCCCCAAAATTGAATTCTAAAATAATAACTCCCATAACAATTAAAACATTTCCACTCAAAATATAATGACCCCCCCCAAATAGCAAAGTATATGAAAATGTAGTTTATGTGACATGCTTCCACCAATTCGCAACCCTTTTCCCAGGCCAATACTTGTGAAATACAGGGCAACTAGAAAGGCCGACGGATGGCTTCACTTACGATATGGCAAAACAATTCTTTACAATGAGATAGCTAGAGATAACAGTTGGATAGCTATCCCCTACATTATTTGTTAGGATTTTTAATTGCATAATGCAAACTGATAAAAAGAAGCGTTTATGCCCCGCATTCCAACGTTGGAGCAGGAAAGCTTGACATACCCACCAAAACACTTGAATACAGTTCATACTGGCCGTGTTCAAGTGAATTCACCCAAACCGCGATTCGGGTAACTCACATTCCTCACATCTGGTCCACGTGCCACACAATCCTTTGAAACCGTGTCCGATCACAATTCGCTTGAGCTACATTTATTGTTGTTTGATGCGTGTTATTATTGTCAAGAGGTCAACGACCTGCTTGCTGATGCCCCCCTCCCAGCGTATCTCGGCCGAATGCCGACGTGGTCCCGCCAGAGGCAGTGAAGCTCGTCCTAGACATTATTTGACCATTACTGCTCTTTAAGTTGCTGCCACGTAAAAGTTGGTATTGCATATAGATAAAGAAATATCACCCCGTAATCCATGACCAGGTGAAGTTTCATTGAAATCACATTGCGTTCAGACGCAAATCGCGATGCGGGAAAACCGATTCGAAACCACCTCTACAAGTGGTTTGGGATCGAGGCGCTTTCAATGTGATTTGGAGCGTTCAGATGGAGCCACTTGAAACCGGCTTCGGGGTAAACCACATGTAAAGCGTCTTGGGTGACTTCACTTAAACACGGCCACTGTCAATATGGCATGGCTTTGTACAGGTGTTAATTGTACCCAATTAAATCCCAACAGCCAATCAGCAAGAAGAATAGAGGAAAGCTGCATGTCTATTGTCTCTTGCTCTGCTTGCCATTCTGATGACTCATGCCGAAATATGGTAACACACTGCATATACATTTTCTATAACACAGCAAGAAAAGCTAAAATAAAACCATTCTAACAGCCTATATCACAAAAATGAAAAAAAACGCTTTGGGGTATTTGCCCACTCTACCTTCATGCCAAATTCCATGTTATTTGTTCCAAAGATGAAGGAGTTGAATCAATTTAAAGAAATGGCAGGAGAAGAAGGAGGAAAAGAAGAAACATGAAGAAAAACAATATATCTTCAGCACATAGTAGTGAAGCCATAATTATTCCTAGTTTCAGTGTGTAGCTCCAAATGCAGGTGCTCTTTTAGCAGATAATTCAATTATCTCAACAGCCAATCAGAGCCACACCTGCAATCAGAGCCACGCCTACTCCTGTCTCATTGCTCCTATTTGGGATTGAAGCGCCTGTCTTCATGACCAGATAGGGTCACACTGTCATATTATATTTCCCATGAAAACAGCTAAAAAGCTTAATCAAACCAATTCTAAAAGACTGTATCAAGAAAATGAAAAAATATAGAAAGGCTGATATTTGCTTTGGAGAATGACAGGGGAAAACAATGCTCTACATTGATATAACTATAGTATGAAGTGGCATATAAGTAAGAATACAACAGTTGGACAGCTGTCCCCTACATTATTGGTTAGGATGTTTATTTGCATAATGCACACTGTTGATTTTCAAGACAAAAAAAGTTTATGCCCCGCATTCCAAGCATGTTAAGGTCCAGTTAAAAACACTTCCATACACACAAAATCCAGTCGAAAATTGAAATCGAAAGAAATAGCAACGACCCTATTTAACAACATACAAAAAATGTCCACACCAAATATAGTATTTATGATAATACCCGTTTAAAATTGAATTTAAAACTAGTTGGAAAAATTATATCATGTAGTTACATGTGTGCTCAGCTACGTAAAATTGCATCAGACATTGCGCTAAACTTTCACAGAGGCCCCCATTATCATAGGGAACAATGGCAACAAGTCAATGACCTTATCTTACCACACCACTACATGTATCTGCACCTAATTTGGTTTAAGGATGTTAAAATTTGGTTTAAAAAATACCAAGGTGTATAAAATGTAGGTTATATGACATGTTTTCACCGACTCACAACCCAGAGACTCCTTTTCCTGGCCAATACTTGTAAACAAACAAAGTAATTATTCCTATAATAAGTATGTGGAACAATCTAGCAGTAAAGTAATTAAGGGGACAGCCAATCAGCAACCACATCTGCAAACAAGGTTGCACCTGCTGCCCATATATGGGCATTGAGCTCTTGGCCTAAATGATTTAATGCAATTAAACCCAGAACCCAATCAGCAAGAAGATTACAACTTCCCTACGACCTCGAAAGCTGCATGCCTATTGGCTGTTGCTCTCTGTATTCCTCACTGATGAGTCATGCTATACAGTAAGTATAGCATGACTTAAATAACGTCATTATTTGGCATTGAAAACAGTCATATCCAAAATTATACAAGTTGAAGAGAGTATGCCAAAAGCTATGATGAATTGTTGCTTAGATATAAAAGCATACCCATACCAACTTTCAGATGATTTGAGTGTAGTACCAGATCTCCACCACCCAAAATGTACAGATTTTGTCGGAAAATGAAAAACAAACAAATAAAACAATTTTAAAAGTCTGTATCCCAAAAATGAAGACAAAAATTTGCCCACTTTATCTCCATGCAGAAAAATTGCAGAGTTGAACGGCAGGAGGAGAAGAAGAAGGAGAAGAAACACCAAAGAATATAATATGTGTTCACCACACTATGTGTCGTGAAGCCACAAAAAAACACAAAATGGGGGTATTTGCCCACTCACCTCCATACCAAATCTCTGCTCATTTGTACCGAAAATGAAGCAGTTCGTCCACTTAAAGAAATGGCAGGAGAAAGGGAAGGACAAGAAATATAGAAACCTATGGTATATACTTAAATAATGATAACGTAACATGACGGTTGCAGTGGCAATATATCTATAACATCTTAAAAATCAATATTCTGTCTATTCTATGTTTTGATGTTGCAGGCATTTACGTCAGGTGTCGGACTCTCATGTGCGAAAGTGTGTATATTGTCTTAGCGCATTTCATCATCATTTCGTACCTGAATTGTTTGATATAACCGCCAAACACGCTACATTGACACATTGATACAATAACGCTTGTGGTCCAGGAATCATATCTATTCTTTTAATAAAATATGTTCTAAAACTCCAACAGAGTGAGAGCTATCTGCAATTTACCCCACATTATCCCTTGTTAATATTTATTATCATGAACGCTAATTGAGAAATAAACGTTACCTTAACCTATAGGTTCTGTCGTTATATTCTGCGTGGTTATATATATCTAAAGACGGCGTCATAGGAACTTTACCCATTATGATATCTGCCAAAATTTAGCTTATTAGATACTGGCACCGTTTCGTAAAATTACCTGAGGTAATTCACAATGCATACAAAACTGCATCTACTAACCATGACCATGACAGGATTAATTATGTTAAGGACACTCTAAATTCCCATGACTTTGGACATTACTTGGATAAAACCTGAATCTTATAAAGTACTAGTATATTATATTATCCACCAACTTCGCTACCGGCTACAAGACACACATATACAAGAGTGGTTTAGTCATACTGAAAATAATTCAAAACTGTCTTTTCTTAACAAGTCGAAAAACTCTTATGAGCAAGAAACATATCTCTATGATTTAGATAACTTTGATATTCGTAAAGCCATACTAGTAGTCATAAATTGAATATAGAAAAGGACAGATACTATATTATAGCCCCTGACCAAAGGTTCTGTCCATTTTGTCCAAAGCAGATTGAAGATGAATTCAACTTTTACATGGGATGCTCCAGATATGATATTTTACGTAACAAGCTATTCTAGAATCAAGTACAATGAAAAAGTAGGTACATATACGAAAGGCTGCTTGTTATAAAAATACCGAAACCCATGATTAGCCCTACTCGTTAGTAACACTATATCAAAGACTTGCCCTTGTTGTTTTAGTACTTAGGATTTTATTCTGTACGTACTTTGTGTGTGTGCTATGTTTAATAGCCGTTACCGTACGCTGTACCATGTACAAATGTCGTGCAACGAAGTTCTCATGTTATTTTGAGAGGCGACATAAAAACATTGATTGACTGTTTTAGAAATAGCCGGTGGTGTCGGTTTAAATTCATGAGAGAGGCGGCAAACGGTACAAAATCACAGACGTCAATGTTGCGCTATAACTTCGTCTTCTTCTTTAGGAGGCCAACATCAGCATAATGATGAATCTGCCTCGCTATATTTGGAGACGGTTAGGTCACAGTCTTGTTTGTTTTTGTTGTTCTTTGTTGTTGTTTTGTTCAGTCCAGTGTCAGTGTCAGTGGTAGCTGGTCTTGTTTTTGTTTTAGGCTTGCTGGGCCAACCGATCTGGGAAAGACTCCAAGGATGGAGCATCCACTATTCCTGATAGGAGGGAATGCCAGTCCGTGACTTTGCGTGGGAAGGTGGTCATCTGTCTGTACGTTGTTCTGCAGTAGGGTACGTTGTTCTGCAGTAGGGTACGTTGTTCTGCAGTAGGGTACGTTGTTCTGTAGTAGGGTACGTTGTTCTGCAGTAGGGTACGTTGTTCTGCAGTAGGGTACGTTGTTCTGCAGTAGGGTACGTTGTTCTGCAGTAGGGTACGTTGTTCTGCAGTAGGGTACGTTGTTCTGCAGTAGGGTACGTTGTTCTGCAGTAGGGTACGTTGTAGGATAGGGTATGTACATGACGTGTCCGTTGCTTGAGCTGACTTACAGAAGGAAGTTCCCGGTAGTTGTGGTGATAATCCCATGATGTAGTTTGTAAAGGCTTGCTAGCCTATAAGCAGGGGAGGTTAGAATAAATACGTCGCAAAAGTGTAATTCTACAAAATGTCAGCAGATTATGTATCCTTTGATAAATCTTGTAGTCGATTATAGCATCCCTCTCTAGACTTTAGTGTTTAAATAATTCACCCATTGATATCTGACGCTATAATAGACAACTGAATGGAAAACAGAATGTAGATTGCTCAATCAATCCTACTCATTGGACCAATCTAATTTGTATGCAGGGTAAGGAGTGAAATCGGCCACAAAATAGTTCGGAAGGCTCGCCGGCAGATTGTAAATTGGCTAGACGAAGGGTCGTTTTCACAACCAATCAGTTGAGACGCTGCAATTAACGAATTTCACGGCTGAAGGTTCCCACTTCAGGTCTATTTCTTGTCGGATATAAATCGGAGGGGAGGGGAGGGGGGGGGGTGAATTTACGCCTTCGTGTAACATGGCACAACTTCACACAAACCCTTTGCTCTCCCTAATTGGGTACATTCCAGTCTATTACTTCCGGGGCGGAAGTATTGCTATTGGCGGCGCTGATGTTTATGTTTGTATGCTTGGGTTCCAGGGTAGCAACGGTTGCTTCAGAGTCGGGCTGGTTTTGACAGTTGATTTAGAGAAATACTAGAAAGGTCGTCATTTGCTCTGGACCAAATGAAGCAAATGACTTCACCACATCCCCAGTACCAGAAATGGACCTATCCCCCTCCCGCACAAATGGATTGTTCCTAACTCACCCCTGTCCAAATTGTAGATTGACAGGATCCTTGCAACCCTGTATGTGCTTGAAGACCAATCCACCATGTATCTGTTCGAATATTACCATGCTACCCTGTATCTGCTTGGAGATTGCGAATATCACAAAAAATTGAATCCATTTTACGAAATGGCAGGGGAAGAAGGAGAAACAAGAAAGGAAAACAATGGTTTTCATATAGATGCAACTATAGTATGAAGTGACATATAACTAAAAATTCAACAGTTGGAAAGCTAACTTCCCATACATAAGGATTTTTATTTGCATAATGCAAACTGTTGATTTTTAAGAAAAAGGTTTACGCCCCACATTCCAATCTGGAGCAAGAAATTTTGACATACCCACTAAAACACCCGAATGCAGTTCATATAGTCAATGTGATATGGCTGGAGCAGGTAGTCCGAACAGCCAATCAGCAAGAAGAATACAAGAAAGCTGCATGCCTATTGGCTCTTGCTCTACATGCACATTCTGCTACCTCACACCCTCAGTATACAGTGATCTGAAAATAGCTGATAACAGCTCAAAAACATATCAAAAAGATCCATCAACAACGTCTCGAGTTATGACGTTGACCTAAATACAGACCCACACCACAGCTGCCCATCAAGCCCAAACCACAAACGTGCCCTTCTGACGAAGGCAATGAGCTTAGTTCGCAGACTCGTTCCCATTTGACATACGCCATGCGGAGGTCATGTGAACTGCAGCCACGCTCAGCACTATTCAGTATATATCCAGGCGCCAATCTACGCCAACAGAACAAACATTATACTTCAACTTTAACAGTTTCAAACCCGATGTATTCCTCTACCATACACCACAGTTTTCACCTCGCGTTGTAGTGCACATAAACATCTCTCAAGTATCCTGCTGCACTGCAATGAACTTTGCGCCTAAACTACTATTGACCACGAGGTTCGCATATAAATGCTGTTTTATGCGAACCTCTCCCCTGTTGGTAGCAGGCAATGCCCCTCATGCATTACTTTGCCAGGAAACCAAGTTGACCCTCTGCTAGATTAGTAGCGGTTGTGGAAGCAAAGGCCAAGTTCAAAAATGTTAATTTATCCTGTCGTGTTCCTACGCTCCTGCAGTGGGTTGTGTGTTATGCATGTGTACAAGATCACTCGGGAAACGGTTGTTCATGGTATTTAGTGGATACGTAGAGGCAACAAAACGAAGGTCAAGTTTCAGAATGAGCCTCCCAGTGTGTTCATACGGTACTGCAGCGGAGGTTTAAAGCTTGAGGTTAAATTTTCTGCAAGTGCCAGGTTCATGATTTTTTAGTATTGGAAAGCTCTTGGGGGGTGGGAATAAATGGTGTAAGTTTGTGCCCCCTGACAGCTTGTTCTGGAACTGTAGTTGCGCTTGTTCACAAATGTTCACACATTTCTTTGAAAGTCCAAAACAAAAAACAAAAGTTAGAAAAGTGAAGACAAGGATGATGCAAATTAGTCAACTAGCTCATGCCGTTTCAGAATAGGAGCTTTAATAGGAGCTTTAAGTTTCCAGTGAGTGCCTGAGAGTTCTACCCATACCCCCCATCCTGTTGAGGGTGGGGTTGTACATTCTTTCATATATTGCCGCTCTAACTCCTCGTTCCCACCAGCGGGTGCCACGGTCTAAGATATCCGTAGATTCGAATTTAAAAGATAGACCCCAGCATTCTACAGCCTTCTCAAAAACAGGGTGTCCCCCTACGACTCCAGTATCGGTTCTGTCACTGAGTTAGCAGGATTTCTATGGCCAAGATCTTGGAACTACTAGTGTGGAAGTGTCAGCATCGCATACAGAATAGTACAGATTTTGTCAACAAAATCAAAGACATTCATGTAGAGGAAAGATGAAATCATAACATATGACGTGTGCTCTCTTTTCTAAGCTTAGACAGCCGACGATACCTAAGCCAAACCAGAGTATGAGATCGTGGAACTCTAGCTATGATCAAATTATCTTGCAGGTTTTACGAGTTTACATACCTTAGATATTTGCCGTCCGTTAATTATCACTTAAGCTAGAATACTGCATTTTTTTCACATTTGCATAAGCCTACATGGATAAATTTGCATAATTATGTCAAGACTACTATGTGAGTGTGAGTGATAGTGAGTGTGAGTACTATGCAGCACTAGTCTTATTGTATTGATTATATTGTCAGCACTGTCGAGCAAGAAAGTTCATTCATCCTACTAACACCAGTAGATGGACCCAAAGCTCTGGCAGCTAGCCTTACTTTACTTTGGGCCCTTTGCCCCTACCAGGGCATAGGCCACCGATGATGTTCGTACACTGTACTCGTCTGTGGTATACTTCCTCAGGTCCTGCCAGCTGGTGCTGATGCTCCTCATCTCCTCCTCCGTGTCCCTTCTCCAGCTGTTCTTGGGTCTACCCCTCTTCCTCTTACCCTGTGGATTCCAGGTCAGGGCCTGCTGAGTGATACTAGTGTTGGCTTTCCTAAGCGTATGTCCTACCCAGGACCATTTCCTCTTTAGCATCTGTTCTGTAAGGCCACACCAAGTAAATTTTATGGATGACGTCCGCGCGCGCATTGATTTTGGCCTGTTCCTAGAAAAAAAACAAGAAATTCCGCTTCCTGTAACTATGACCAAAGAGTCACGACAGTGCCGCAAATCGTTAGATTGACGTAAACCCCGTAACGCGAAATGGGTAAAGAGCACATGCCTTGTTTCTGCAGGCCTGACAAAAATGTGATGAAAGAAACAGGGCAGGACGATAACTGCTGTTCCACCTGATTTATTGCTGTTTTGATGATGAATAAGACTTCTTGCTTGTTACACTGTGTCACCTCATTCAATTTGTGTCCTAACATTTGTCGTCTCTTAGTATATTTCTAATCTAGGCATCTTGTTTTTTAGGGCCCTCCTTGTTTTTTTTCGCCCTCTCGCATTAGATTTAGGGTCTCCAAAGGACGTCATCCATAAAATTTACTTGGTGTGGCTTAATGGGTTGTCACCCTGCTCTGTCCCATAGCTCGTAGTTGCTGATTTTTTCCCACCACCTAATCTTAAAGATAGTCTAAGACAGGTGATGACGAAGATCTGTAACCTGTAGGCTGTACTGTGTGACTTTTGTTGTTCTCCATATTTCCGAACCATAGCGGAGGACTGATTTGCCACTGGAGTTAAAGATGCGAAGTTTGGTGGCTCTGCGTATTCCTCTAGAAGCCCAGACCTTCCTTAGCATGATGAACACCGCTCTTGCTTTCCCTATATCCTTGCTGTTACATCTCTGTCCGTGCTCCCTTGACGGTGTACCACACTACCCAAGTACACAAAGGATATCATTAGTATTGATTAATTATTCCCACAATGACGAAACGTAATGCTTCGATTGTTAAACGCATTTATTGTCGTTCACCGTATTCATACTAGCCTTTTAAGAATAGCAAAAAAAAAGATTGATGTTATTGATATTGTATGCTTAGAAATGCTTTAGTAATGCTTGAACGAAAATCATTTTCTTATATAAAGCGATACAGGAAAAATATAAAAATGCCTGGTCAAATCCATTTCTTATTGCAGTTTTTTCTATGTTGAGGACAAGTTTCGAAGTACATATGCATACGACATGGCAAGTAACATTGACATCTACAGGAAAAGGTCGGGTTTTGGCCTTCACATCTAAACGTTTACCATAAGTTGCCAGCTATATATACTAGATATGGACATGTAGAACAGGTTGGCTGGTGTGTAGAATACATTCATAGAATAATCGGCGTAAACTTGATATAGCTCTCGCCTTTCATTTATCAAAAATAATATCACCATTACCAAGAAGACTGATTATTTAACATGAAATCGGGACTTCGAAAAACACACATACAAAGACTGGGTTAAGTTTTCTAGAATACTTATTGGCACAGACTGACGAATACTAATGGCATGCTCTTGTCCGCAGTCCACAAATATCTCCAATCATTATAGTTTATAGTTATTATCATTAGACTTATTGATTCAGACGGTTCAGTAGATGGGCGCAGAATATAGATATAAAAAAACCAGTTGGCAGAATTGATGGCTTTTACCTCCATCCTGACCATAAAAAGACAGAATACATCGGTATAGCAAAGTACGTCTTTGCAACGGTCCGATATCGAAGTTGTAGTGTTCCACCAATGGGAGGTTATACCGGCTGTACAGATACAGAAGCTGGTGTGTTACGCCGAAGGGTGTTATACTGGCTGTCCATAGACTGATATAAACTGATATTTAAGTTGGACCGATGTTATCCGTCGGTCTAAGATGGACAAAACTGGCACATAGGAAATAATTACATCTGAAATACCATACTGTGGTTATCGGCGTTGTTCAAACTGAAAGCTGAAAGAGTTTCCATTAAATGTGCTCGAACAAGTTTCTTTCCCTTTGATAAGTTTTTATATAACTTTACTGGAACACTCTGTCAGTTCAGTCGTTTCTAACTGGCAATCACCGTTCGGGCCTATAGAACAGTCCTCCAGCTCCAGCGCCTTGATGACTTCACGAACGTCCGTGACCTTTAACCTTACTCTTTCCTGGGCGTTTTCATCCGAGTATCTGATGGGCTTGTTATTTCTTCTGTGATAGCAGACGGCAAACACAACAACATTCAGAAAGAATAACGAGGTACCCACAGCTATGACTATACTCAGTTCCGACGAGTTGCCAGGTTTCTTCCGTACCCAGGTGATGTCCTTGCCAGGCCATGACATGTCACTCGCGCTGGGATTCCTGGTTGGAATTGCGATGAATGGCATGCACGTTGTTTGAACTGTTTCCGAATCTGGTTTTACCGGAATCCAAGAAGATGTCTTCTTCCCCGTACCCTCTCCCTCTCCATCAGCATTTTGGCCTGTGTCCAAAAGTTCGCAAAGCTCGTTTGGGTCTTTCACCAAAGACGACTCAGAATTTCTGACATGTTTTGGTCGTAAAAGTTTGGGCACAAGTTCGACCCAAAAAGCGACTCGTTGTGACCGATATCCTTTTGGAACCCGAGGTTTCATTCCAAAGTACATGTAAAAGTCACTGTCATTGTCAGCCCGGTATGACAGCCATTCCACCTGTTCATACCGGTTGGGCCTCTCATGTACAAACCTCGTCTTCTGCTCGATAGGCCAGTTAGGATCCCTGGAACGTCAACACAGAAGAATAGATGATGGTTATTTCAGGCATGTCTCGTCGTTTTATCATAAACCTACGTACATTTTTCAGAAACGTTCATTATAATGATTAAAAGATGCGCTTGTTTTACAACATTTTCTATCCCCCTGCTGATAAAGTGAAACTTTCTTTTGATTAAAAATGCAAAGATACCAGAGCAATCAAAGATAACTAGAAAGGCCAATATTTGCTTTGGAGCAAATACAGCGATGGGTTCACCACATTTTACGACATGGCAGGGAAAGAATGAGAAACACAAGGGAAAACAATGATTTACATTGATATAACTATAATATGAAGTAACATACAACTAAAACAACAGTTGGATAGCCATTTCCTACTTTATTGGTTAGGATTTTTAATTGCATAATGCAAACTGTTGATTTTCAAAATAAAAAAAAACGTTCATGCCCCGCATTCCAATGCTGGAGCAGAAAAGCTTGAAATACCTACCAAAACACTTGAATAAAGACATACTGTCAGTATGGAAATGCTCTGTGCAGGTGGAAATGCTCTGTGCAGGTGTTAATCAAGTTAAATCCCAACAGCCAATCAGCAAGAAGTATAGAGGAAAGCTGCATGCCTATTGGTTGATGCCCTGCATTCCATTGTGATGACTCATGCCCAGACGTGGTAAACACGGCACACTAACACAGTAATACATTTGCTATAACACAGCCAAAAAACTCAAATAAAACCATTCTAAAAGCCTGTATCACAAAAATTTAAAAAACGCCTAGGGGTATTTGCCCACTGTACCTCCATACCAAATTTCAGGACCTTAGGCCCTAAAATGAAGAAGCTGAATCCATTTAAACTAGAAAGGCCAATATTTACTTTGGAGCAAATACAGCGATGGGTTCACCACATTTTACGACATGGCAGGGAAAGAATGAGAAACACAAGGGAAAACAATGATTTACATTGATATAACTATAATATGAAGTAACATACAACTAAAACAACAGTTGGATAGCTATTCCCTACTTTATTGGTTAGGATTTTTAATTGCATAATGCAAACTGTTGATTTTCAAAATAAAAAAAAACGTTCATGCCCCGCATTCCAATGCTGGAGCAGAAAAGCTTGAAATACCTACCAAAACACTTGAATAAAGACATACTGTCAGTATGGAAATGCTCTGTGCAGGTGGAAATGCTCTGTGCAGGTGTTAATCAAGTTAAATCCCAACAGCCAATCAGCAAGAAGTATAGAGGAAAGCTGCATGCCTATTGGTTGATGCCCTGCATTCCATTGTGATGACTCATGCCCAGACGTGGTAAACACGGCACACTAACACAGTAATACATTTGCTATAACACAGCCAAAAAACTCAAATAAAACCATTCTAAAAGCCTGTATCACAAAAATTTAAAATACGCCTAGGGGTATTTGCCCACTGCACCTCCATACCAAATTTCAGGACCTTAGGCCCTAAAATGAAGAAGCTGAATCCATTTAAAAAATGGCAGAAGAAGAAGAAGAAGGAGAAGAAACATCAGAAAAAGCAATATGGGTTCACCACCACTTCGTGGTGTGGTGAACCCATAAAAATGGCAGGAGAAGGAAAAACATCAGAAAAAGCAATATGGGTTCACCACCACTTCGTGGTGTGGTGAACCCATAATAAACTGCAAAACTAATGTAGGGAATAGAGGAAACGAAGCTATCAGTAACATCGGCACTTACAAAGATATCTCTTTTAAACAATGAATGAATGACGACCTTTATTGCACATTTTTGCCACACTGGGCTAAGTACAGGTCAAAACAAGACATGATGAAAAGATACATACAAAATAAAACTAGCCATCATTACATAAATTCAACTTCTCGCTTTTCAGGTATAGTAGAGATAAAGGAACAGATATGTTTTTCGATTGAAGGTTTGTCAAGTCGCATTAGGAATATGAATTTTTCTACAGTGCTCAAGTGTATGAAGTAAGGTAATAGGTTTTGTACAAACCTATACAGATAATTTCTCTCTTTACTATATAAGCACTCTATATCTCAGTTGTAAGTAGGGAAATGTTGAGATATGCAGAAAATGACTCTCAAAGATATGTAGTGATAAGAGACATCCGTCAAAACGTGTAGTTCTGCCTGAGATTCAGAAACCCTAAGAAACCCTGAGGAGTAGCAAAGAGTCAACGTAAACGGTCAGTCCTGTACTTGAATTTATGGAACGAAATAAAAGATGAGTTGATTATTACCTCCAACAGAAGTTGTGTTTTTGTTTGATCAGGGTGGAGTGACTCTGGTGACATAACTATTGAAGCCATTGATGGATATTCATGATTTTAGGTGTTCAAGTTACTGTTGGGGGGGGGCAGAGGTCAAGTTCTAAAATGTGCCATAATGGTGCTACGTTACTGTGGTTGACCTTTTATGTCTGTTGGTTTGTTTGTGAACAGGATAACTAGAGATGCTGTAGGTGGATGTTCAAGATTTCCAAGGCCAAGTCTGAAAATGCGCCTTATATCTGGAATGAACTGGACCTTCTGTGTGTATTGGTTTGTTAACAGGATAACTCGACATACTGTAGATCGAGAAAAAAATTAGTGGGTGGGTGGGTTACGGAAGAAGGAAGGTCTAGTTGGGCCTCTTAGCGTCTATGTACGGTACTGCAACAAGGGGCTTCAATGTTTTTGAGTTCATGTTCATCGTTGGGATTTTTAAGTGTTGGATTGATTGATTGATGTTTCCAAAATCATATCCAGTTGCTTGAGTAACTGCTTTTTGGTGTATCGTATTACCTGGATGTCTAATCTTTATCGACGTAGATGCTTCAGTTGTTTGTAGACATTATGCAGTGAAAAGCTATATCTGTCAAACAGTAAAATATGGTGTGCATGTGGCAGAGGCTGACTAAGAACAAGTGGTTATTTGAAGTGTCTGCAAAAATTTATGACGTTTTCAAAATCATATCCAGTTGCTTGAGTTACTGCTTTTTGGCGTGTTGGATTGATTATGAGGATAGATGTGTTGGACCGCGGTGGGCTTTTTCGTTTTGAAGTTTGCACGATGATAACTGGAACTGGGTCAATGTTTTTATGGTTTTGGGCAGGAAGGAATAGTGATTTGTATATTATACAAATCAGCACCTAATTTGCGTAAGAAATGAGGTAAACATATTCTCTGGCGTCGGTGAAGGTTAGACATTCAGACGATAACACGAGAAGGCCAAAGTAGCTTGTTCTGGAACCGCAAAGTTGTTTAGAACCTTTGAAGGAGAATAACCCAAGAACTAGTTGACAAATCGTATGACTTTTGGTACGTAGGTAGCTTAGTTTACGTAATAACCTTCTGTGTTGAGATCAAAGTCATATTGGGCAGAGAATGGGATAAATTGATATAATCCATGCAAATGAGGATCTTATTTGCATAAATAATTAAAACATAATTAGACGTAAATGTTAATATCATTTGGCGAAGGTACGAGGTTGTGAAACTCCAGTTCACGTTTATTCCATTTCATGTCTTTGTCTGAAACATGTTTCGGAATATTCCATAACGTGCCTTCTGTATGAATAATTAATTTACCACTACTATCAATCATCCGTGATTGACAGCGTGGCCGGTACCGTTACCATTCCAAAACATGATTTGGAATAACAAGTTTTGGAATGCAACAGGGGGAAGACGGAATCTCCCACCGTCGCGGTTGAGAGAGTGTTGATGGGCCCTGATGTTTATTTCTCCTTCCCTTCACCTCCTCACAAAGTAGTTCTAGAAGTCTGGACACTCTCTTGCAGTGATAAAAGAGGATTGATCAGTGGACAAAAGAATCTCTAGGGAACCTACCCACACCGGCAGTATTTAAACTTCAGTTCTAATCACCCAAATGAGCATAAATTGAGGGTCATTCGTACATTGTTTCATAGAGCAGGCACTAACTAGTATCACTCACCCCTAGGACAGACGGTTAGAGATTCAGGAACATATCCAGGTTCTGCTAAACAGTGCTACCCTGAGTGGGCTGTGTACAACCCGCTACTGTTAGAAATCACAATGCAAAGTCTTGGTTGTCTTACCGTACGTTAAGAACATATCAGAGGCCCTACAAAGAATCGTTTTCACACACGGCATAAAAATTGTTTTATATAGAAGTTTATTGCAAATACGTGACTGGGGGCTAATTGCAAATTAAAAACATAAAAGACCAATGAAACAGAGTATAGAATAACTAAAATCTACATGATAAAAGGTAGTTGTCTAAAGCTGTAGCTATGTCTAAAACTATGTCTAAGGGGACTTCTCTTTTTGAGAGAGAGAGAGAGAGAGAGAGAGAGAGAGAGAGAGAGAAAGATGTCCCACCTTTTCCAAAATTAGTGGGTTTTAGGAAGTTAAAAGAAGAATAGTTGTACCCGCTACAACTGTCGTGCAATTAAGTTCTTCTACATCTGACGAAGGTTGACCAGATCGACTGAAAACTTATGGTGAGCTTTAAGTTTAGTTTCAGTTTCAGTTTATTTCGCACTTTAAAACAAAATATAACAATACAAATAGAAGAGAATATAAATGAAATGTAACAGTGCAGGGAGGCCGGAAGCATGAAATGTTTATGATGAGGCCTCCCTTCATAACGGGATTAACAATTCAAATAAATCGGATAAATAAGAAATAACTTAGGTAACGGGTAAATGAAACAAAACAATAAAATACAATACGATGCAATACTATCTACAATAATGAAAAGTAGTAATGAAAGTAGTAAACAAGGAAACATAAACAAAAATTAGGAATGTGTGGGGTTATTTATGAAAACTACTTTAGTATGATTTTTGAAAATGGTGAAGGAGAGACTAATTTGTGAAGTTCTACTTATGTTGTTCCAAATTGTTGGGCCCCTGTGCCTGATTGTAAATTGACGTAGATTCGATTTCGCATTGGATGGCCTTAAATAATTGCATTGGCGTGTGAAGTGGTTGTGGATATCTGAGTTCAATAAGAAGGTGTAGGTGTCGTGGAAGATTTCAGGAAGGCAAGGACATTTATATATTATATTGTACATTGAAAGACTATGTTTACAACTATGGATTCTACCAACACATATGATCTTTCATTCAAATAAACTTCATTGTAAACATACCTCAAATGGCAAGGGTAACAAAACAAAAGGAACACCATGACTTGGGGCGTAAATATGAGTTTTTCATGCCAGGACATGACAAACGTTATAAAACGTTAGTGAACACAAAGCATCCAACTTACCCGCTTTTAGCAAAGTTTGCCCAGTATGTCATGATGGCGGCACTCAGCATAATCTCCGACTTTGTGTAGTTAGAATCTCTGTAGATCCGCAGTCCCACCAGTGGAGCACCGAGGACGAAGGGAAGGTCCTCACTGTGTGCCGCTTCCACCCAGGCCTGGGGTACGGACCG